AAAATTCTGTTTCAAAATGTAAATCTCCCTGTTTATTTGAGCGAGGTGGAATCGACAAACTAATATTTTTATGTATTATTTTGTCAAAATTCTGTTTCAAAATGTAAATCTCCCTGTTTATTTGAGCTAGGTGGAATCGACAAACTAAAATTTTTGTATTATTTTGTCAAAATTCTGTTTCAAAATGTAAATCTCCCTGTTTATTTGAGCGAGGTGGAATCGACAAACTAATATTTTTATGTATTATTTTGTCAAAATTCTGTTTCAAAATGTAAATCTCCCTGTTTATTTGAGCGGGGTGGAATCGACAAACTAATATTTTTATGTATTATTTTGTCAAAATTCTGTTTCAAAATGTAAATCTCCCTGTTTATTTGAGCGAGGTGGAATCGACAAACTAAAATTTTTATGTAATATTTGTCAAAATTTTATTTGAAAATGTAAATCTCCGTTTATTTGAGCGGGGTGGAATCGACAAACTAAAATTTTTATGTATTATTTTGTCAAAATTCTGTTTCAAAATGTAAATCTCCGTTTATTTGAGCGGGGTGGAATCGACAAACTAAAATTTTTATGTAATATTTGTCAAAATTCTGTTTCAAAATGTAAATCTCCCTGTTTATTTGAGCGGGGTGGAATCGGTAAACTAAAATTGTCATGTATTATTTTGTCAAAATTCTGTTTCAAAATGTAAATCTCCCTGTTTATTTGAGCGGGGTGGAATCGGTAAACTAAAATTGTCATGTAATATTTGTGAGAGGGCCGGACAGGGAACCGATGCCAACTTCACGCTCCGCAACCGAGTGGACGGACAGGGAGTGGAGATCCGGTACGACATGTATAACCCGACCATTCGTGAGATACAAGTGTTGAGACTCGAGAAACGACTGGATCCGCATCTGTTGTATCTTCGGGACGCTTTGCCCGAATTCAGTCATTTCCCATTCGACATGACTCCGGAACCGCTGCCGGCGGGCGCAGAGGTGCCGGTGAATGGGGTGCGAGTGGTGATGAAGAAGTGGCCATGGACGCGCAAGTGGGAGGGACACGATCTCGAGGGCATCGCACAGTTGACAGATCTGCCCGACTGGCAGTATATCAACAAATGGCGCAAAAAGAACTCATACGAGAAGTACGACCTCATGAAGGAATACAGGGAACACATCCCCGAAGAGGAACAGATGGAGATCTGGCAACAAGTGAAGGAACATAAGGACAATATCGCTGACGTGCGCGCCGTTGAAAGACGTAAGAAATTACTGCAACAAACCGGCAAAAAGACATAAAACAATGTTTTACTATTGATTTTATATTTATTACTTTTAATATCAAATCTAATTCATATAAAATGTTAAGATTTATCACATAATTATTTTAAAGCGAATGAGCCGTTTATATGTCACTAAATTCATGTTTACAATTATTTCGTAATTACAATAAATTTTAGGTATTATTATGTGGTAGAATGATTTCAGTCAAAACTGCGTGGCGTGTTACCTAGGTAGTACGCCACCCTCTCTAACAAACTGAGATAACACGCCATGGCGGCTAAAGTGGAAGAATTCGGTATTACTTTTAATATCAAATCTAATTCATATAAAATGTTAAGATTTATCACATAATTATTTTAAAGCGAATGAGCCGTTTATATGTCACTAAATTCATGTTTACAATTATTTCGTAATTACAATAAAAGTGTATAAAACAAATAATTTCAACAAACGATTGTTAAGTTCAGTAAAGTATTACTAAATGTAATAAAATTAAAGACATTTGAACTGATTTTGAGTTAAAATGCAAACTATTATTGGCACTAAAAATACGGTGAAAATAATTTAGTTCTTGAGTTGCGGTGAAAGACATTTAAGATAATTATGCGTTTGCTTTCATTGGGTTCACTCAACCGAACCAATGATTTCCCATACAATCCCTGTTCCACTCCGTCTGACAGACCCAACACCAGTTGAACCCGCACTGAGATCTGGTGCACACCATATGCATACACCCGCCGTTCCTATTGGGTTCACTCAACCGAACCAATGATTTCCCATACAATCCCTGTTCCACTCGGTCTGACAGACCCAACACCAGTTGAACCCGCACTGAGATCTGGTGCACACCATATGCATACACCCGCCGTTCCGTTCGGTCGGCGTTCGGCACTTCGGACACGGTTTGGTCGACAGTTTGATTGCCGTTTTGGTCATCATATCATCCCATTTGGACTGATCCGCGTTCGCTGTACTCATGCCCGGGAAGGCACTCGTGTTCGGCTCTAACAGTGAGCCGTCAAAGTCGGTGACACAGTCGCCGATATGGAAACCTTGAAGACATTTGCGACAAAATACAAAACTACATTCAGTGCATGTGATTCGCGAACAGATCTCGGGATCGGTTTCGTCCAGAAGAATGCCGGCACCGCATCCCGGCTGCGGACACAACACTCCGCCCGCACTCAACACACACTCCTCGGCACCGAATCGCTGGTACTTTTCGTACGGCATTTGTCCCATAAGTTTGAAGTGATGTGTTTCCCGTATCAACGAGTCGTTACAACCGACCGCACAGTTCACTGAATAACCGATTTGGGGGTCAGTTATGAATCGGCGCTCATTTAGTTTCGACAGACAGTAGTCTTTAAAACAATCCAAACAAATGACGTGTTTTGAAGGACACGGAAACACGAGAACCGTGTCCTTCACGTCAGTACACGCGAGACACGAGACTTGGATACAGTACTTGTAAACAAACTTCTGATTTTACTTAAAATTTAATTTAATCGTTAAATATATACTGAAATTTTTTAAGTTTTTTACATAAAATTACTTTTAAAATATGTAATTTTAATAATAATTACTTGTTAGTAATTGCAATTATCATTTAGAATATATCGCAACAATACAATCAATATCTCTCAAGTACTGAATAATTATATTTGATTTATGATAAATTGTTAACATTTTAAAAAATCTTAATTCAACGTTCATTTAAAAGAAAGTAACGGAAAATTATTACAAAATAAATCAAACAAAATTATTTGCGGTAAAAATGGCCAAAACAAAGAAGCAAACACTGGAATCAAATGACATGAATGAAACCAATGAACAGCAAAGAAGTGATGTCCTCAACGATGATGTCTTGTCACTCATATTAGGCCGACTCGACATCAATCAAGTGTTTGCATTACAGCGAGTGTCACAACAGTTCCGCTATTGTCTGGAAGAAGTGCTGCTCAGGAAGAGAGAAGTGAGCGTTGGATTCAAAGATGAGTACAAGGAGTCAGTGATGCAAGACTTCAGACCTCAGTTTAAGTCCAGCGATTGGAAACGCATTGACATCACACGAGCGCTCGCTTACAAAAGCGAAGATCTTATAAATCGCAAGGAATGGCGGTTGAAGTCAATGGTTGGCCACTTCCGGGACGTCAACAGCTTATACCTCTCGTCCAATCTATTGAATGCGGAGACAATTGAGCTGTTGGTCAACCATTGGCCACACTTACGGAAGCTCTACATCCATAACATCAAGATTGATGACTGCGATGACCAGACAGTGACCGACCAATGGGTGCAACTCTTGTCCAAATTCACTCACATTATGGTCGCCCAAATCGACGAAAAATATGTGCCATTTATGACAACTATTATCAAAAATTTGCCACTTTTGCAAAGTCTACAAATCTGTCCCAACATTAAGGAACCAATCATTACTTTCACATCACTCGATATCGCAAAACTCAAAAACCTGCGACACCTGAGCGTTTCGGGTCCGCACTTACATAAGCGCTCACATTGGATGTGTTTCGACACCCTTTCGATGGCCGCACACATGAAGCCAATGGAGTCGTTGCGGACGTTATCGTTGTCCAAATTGCGGTGTTCACCAAATCGGTGGTCAAATATGGCTGAAATGTTTCCAAACGTACGCCAACTGTCAGTCGATCGCATTGATTGTCACATCGATTGTCACAACCCATCCAATTGCAGTCAATGTGTCTATCGGTGTATGGATTGTGTCTCAAGACTCCCTCAACTCAAGCGCATGATCATCGGCTTCGGCTTCTATGGCACTATTTCGCGTCAAATACTAGATCTGTTCGCTGGTGTCGATCACCTGAGTATCAGTCTTTGGCCATTAGATCCCACGAGCGGCGATGTCATCGGTTTCTTGATCTCCAAACCAGTGGCCAATAGGGGGCGAGTCTTTCGTTTAGGTTTGCCGTCCGTTACGTGTAATCATTTGACGGACAAAATGCGCGAAATGAATGTCCAAATGCCTGACAATGTGTTTATGTCCCACAAGTATATGCATTAGTAAAAGGATGCCTACCGTTGGCCTCAAAATCCAATCAAAACGGATAAACATTTTCTTTATATTTGAACCGTATTTTCAATAAATTTCATTTCATACAAAAAAGTTGAAAATTTTAATTGTTTATTATTTGTTCGTAAATTCAACAGTAATTTTAGTCTTTCATTAATCGGACTGTTAAGTAATCCCTTATTGTTTATTAATTGCCGAATGAGACCACACTTTCCCGTTTTGGCCGCATATATGAGCGCAGAGTTGCCGTAATTATCCAATGCGTTCACATTAGCGCCAAATTTGAGCAAATATTTGGCGCATTCAATGAGATCTTCTTCGGGGATACCATTACTCGCACCACAAACGGCCATCAATGGCGTCCAATTATCTGTATTATAAACACTGCATATTAGTATCAATTGATTCCCAAAAGTTAAGACTCGGAGCAAACCTTTATGAAAGTTAGGATCGGCTCCTCTTTCCAGCAGATAGTGAACCATAAGTTTGTGTCCACTATTGGAGGCGTACATCAATGCAGTCCATCCGGCCGTCAGTATTGTGTCCACAAACACATTGGACTCGCTTTCCATCAGTTCTTTGAGAAGTCCAAAGTTGTCGTTAATAATAGCCATTCGGATGTCATTGAGGAATATAGCGCCACAAGAGATGGACTCCAAGACTACATTTCGCTATTCAAACACATTTAGAGATCACATCCAAAGACACCAAAAGTCGGGACAAACCTTTGGTTTTGGTTTCGGTGTTTCGGTCTTCTTATAGGAGACCTCTTCTTCTCTGCGGACATAAGAGTCGTCCAAAAAGTCGTCAAACTCTTCGTCGCTATCGAACTCAGCGCCGGCCGCGAGATATGCCATCACTTGACTGTCAACACACGCGCGGATCAGTTGAGGTGATAATGACTGAGTGTTTAGATGTGTAGTGAATGTGAGTTAAACTGAAAGACAATTCAAATCTTGTTATGAAATGGCATTCAATCCGGAGATGTGTTTACAAACATAGCGTCAATGCTATCAATGCTATCAATGCTATCAATGCTATCACGCATTCAATTGGTTGCCGTCAATAATGACACTGAATGTGACAATAGATGGCAAAGTGTGTCAACACATGCTTTGCAATGCATTTGAGAGTTGAATGAATGACGAAATTTAAAAGCAATTATTGTGGCCAACAATGAGTGAAATCAACACTCATTTGACACATGATTTGTCGTCCCTATCGTTGAACGCGTCGACGCCTAACACCACCGATGAGTCCACGAATGGACCCAATAGTGAAGCCAACAGTCGCTCCAGAAGTGGACGTAAGAAGAAGAGCCAAACGAGTGAAACACCTAATGGTTTTGCACACCATTTGCCGTCGCCTTCAGTGAACGCGTCGACCCCTAAGACCGGCGACCACTTGAGGGCCGAACCCAACAGTGAGTCCAAGAGTCAGTCCAGAAGTCAACGTAAAAAGAAAGGGCAGACCAATGGTGTTGTTGTGCGACAGATCTCGTTGTCTTATATCATGGGATACGAGCCACAGATGAATGCGTTGAGAGAGTTGATTGAAACCCCGCTCTCGAGGAGCTACCAAATGAGACAAATGAGTGCCGTTTTGCCCAAAAGTGTTCTCTTATTTGGTCCGACGGGTTGTGGGAAGTCGTCGGCTGTTAAGGCGTTTTGCGCTCATTTCAATCAACAGATGTTTTGCGTTCACATAAATTGTGCCACAATTTTAGCTAAAAGTTTTGCCACATCTGAGGATAACTTGAGGACAATCTTCACGAACGCCATCGAAATGAGTCCAAGTCTTGTCTGTTTAGATAATTTTGAAATGATTTCGTCGGCAAAGAAGTCGTCCGCAGATCAGGAAAAGAGATTGACTGCTATATTGTGTGCAATTTTGGACGATTTGCCGATTGATAAGCATATAGTGATGGTTGCGGTCACTAATAAACCCGATTTAATTGATACCAGCCTTCGAAGGCCCGGACGTCTTGACCGGGAAATTGAATTCGCGGTTCCGCTGCCGAAGGAAAGGACAGCCATTTTGAGGAAACATTTAAGTGAAATGAATAGTGATATTAATGACGAAGTGTTGTCTGGTTTGGCCCAAAGCGCCCACTCTTTCACTGGCGCTGATTTGGCGCTCTCTTGTCGTGAATCGGCTTTAATTACTCTCAAAGACAATCGACACGTAATCAATGAAAACGATTTGAAGCAGGCGTTGAAGTCTATCCGTCCGTCGGCTATGAGAGAAATCAGTTTAGAAGTTCCCAATGTTTTCTGGACAGACATCGGCGGTATGCATGGCGTCCGCAATAAGTTGATCCAATCGGTGGTTTGGCCGCTCACTAATCCCGAAGCGTTTACCAGATTAGCCATCAATGCGCCAAAAGGTGTGCTTATGTACGGACCGCCCGGTTGTTGCAAAACAATGATCGGTAAAGCGTTAGCCACAGAAAGTGGGCTTAATTTTCTGGCCATAAAGGGTCCCGAATTGTTCAACAAATGGGTCGGAGAGTCAGAGCGAGCCGTTCGTGAAGTGTTCCGCAAAGCGAGGGCCGCCTCGCCTTCCATACTGTTCTTCGACGAAATCGATGCGTTGGCCGCCGAACGAGGTGTCAGTCAGTCCACTGTTGGCGACCGAGTATTGGCTCAACTCTTGACCGAAATCGATGGCATCGAACAACTGAATGGAGTGGTGATCGTCGCGGCCACCAATCGGCCCGATATGATAGATAAGGCGCTGTTAAGACCCGGTCGTCTCGATTCCATACTTTACGTCCCGTTACCTGATATGGAGACCAGATATGAGATCTTAAGGATCAGAACCAGGAAAATGCCCCTCAATTTTGAACAACCAGTCGACGAGATACTCAAACAATTGGCGGTCAACACAGAAGGCTATACCGGCGCTGAGATAACGGGTGTTTGTCAAGAGGCGGGTCTAATAGCCCTCGAGGGAGACATAAACTGCCAATTCGTTGAACTCAAACATTTCGAGTCGGCGTTGGAATCAATTAAACCAAGAATTTCTCGACAAATGATAGCGTTTTATGAGAATTATAAGAATGAAACGACAAATAATGCTATAAATAAAACTTCAATTTAATACTTTTAATAAAATTATATTTTTAATTAAAATAATGACTCAATTATTTGATAATTCAATGGATTTTTATTGCAATTATAATTCAAATCTTCATAATTTCTAACTTTTTAAATACCGTATATTTTTAAAATCGCCGAAAAGGCGTTTTCACGTTATTTATGACAAACTCATTGAAAAACATTGAATCGATTTATTGTTAACAAAACAATTGATATTTTATCTGAAGATTGCATTATTTGCCGACACATTACTGGACATCGATTATGACATCACAAGTGGTGACCGCAGATGTGGTCATACAAGAAGACAAACCCGTGGACAGAGAGAAGGTATGCCATCGATGACTATATTTTGAATACAACACCCATTTGTGTATTGTTTGTCTCATGAGTGCACTCTTTCTCTATTATCTGTGACCCGACGCCACACAGAAGTGTCCTCTACTTCTTCGTGTGTTTCTCTCACTGACGGGTCGGCACAACAATTGCAACGATTACTCGCGAAACGATTGTCCGCCGAATGAGCTGCAGGTCTACACGTGGACTGACGCCACTCTCAAAGAGATCACAGGACTGGTGAAAGAGGTGAACCCGGAGTCGCGCCGAAAGGGCACGTTCTTTGACTTCGCACTCGTCTATCCGGACCCCCGGACTCCCGCCTATAGGATGCGTGACATCGGGTCGACTTGCAGTGGAAGCAAAGGCCCGGACGACGCCAAAAGTCTGGCCGAAGCGCGCTTCCAAATCGGCGACTATTTGGATATCGCTATTCAGACGCCCAACGATCGCATGGGTGACCGCCGGCCGCCGCCCAACCGCAGGAATGAGGGCTTCGCCGGCAGACGCGACGATGGCTTTGCCGGCAGACGTGATGACGGATTCGCCGGTCGAAGAGATGATGGCTTTAATATGAGACGCGACGACGGTTTCAATCCACGACGTGATGACGGGTTTAACCCTCGAAGAGATGATGGGTTTAATCCGAGACGCGATGACGGATACGGCGCCCGTCGGGACGATAGGCGCGACCGACCCTATTAGCGATGGACAGACAGACATTTCATCAGTCATTATAAAGTTCATCACTCAATGATTTCCACTAATAATTGTCTGATTTATTAAATTAAAATACATTTCATTTTTAAAAATATTTCATTTTATATATGGTTTTAAAATTTGGATCAATTATTCAATAAATGAATGGCAAGCGCTTCACAGTCTGTCAAATCTAAACCATTTCCTAATTTTTGTCTTTTATTCGTTACTATTTGTTGTTTTGGTTTTCGTTTAATAACGTGTCTATTGTCTGATTCCTCTTCGCTTTCGTTGTCTTCGCTACGATTGGATTGACGATCGCTTTCTTCGTCGCTATCATTCATTTGTTCCTCATTTTCAGAATCTTCGTCCTCATTATATTCATCGTTAGACTGTCCGCCACTCGACTCATCCGATTGTTGGCCGTATATGACGTCCGGATCGGGCAAAGCGTCGATCAGAGAATTCAAATGATTGTAAGACCGGTCGTCGACCGCTTCGTCAGAAGCCAATACAGCGGAACCACTTTTGTTCTGTTTCTCCCGTCGTTTCAGTTCTTTTAATTTAATTCTCTTTTCCTTGTGTTTCGCTTTCACTAAATCTTTGTAAAGTTTTTTATCGATAATATCCTCGTCTTTCATAATCTCTTTTGCGATCTCGATGTCGATTCCATTGATATTCTTCTCATCCAATTGTTTCACTTTGTCGGACACTTGTCGAGTTGGGAAGTCTTCGGCAACAGTTCCGTCTTCGTTGAACTGTACTCTAGAGTTTGGTTTAAAGTGTTTCTTCAACATCTTCTTCGCGAGAGCGGCTTTCGTCACCGCCTTCTTCTCTTTCTCCCTCGGCTCGGGTCGACTGCCATCGAGTTCTTCGTCCAAATCAAATCTCCACACTTTCTTAACAGAAAACAAGTCGTCATCGCTTTCATTGTCATCATTTAAGACATTCAAATTATTATTATTATTAACGCTTTCATTGTCTTTACTATCGCCTATACTTCCAGTTTTTGGTTTCACTTTATTTCCCGTTTCTTTCTTCTGTTTGTTTTCAATAAAACGAATTCTCGGAGTAATCGCTAATCCGAGAGAATTTGCGAAATGATCTGAATTGAGATTTTTAATGTCAAACACAGACTTGTCTTTCATTAGAAACACGTTTTTAATATAAGACTTGAAGGCTCTCTGAGCCGACTCTTTGAGAGTGGAATCCCTCGCACACAACGCTTCGGCCTTTCGTTGTATTGAATACATCTTCTTTGGATTCACTTCTATTTTATTGATGGGAATCTTCTTTTGTGTCAACTGTTCTATCATTGAGTTCTCTTCAGACGGCAGTAAAACCAGAAGAGATTCGCCGTCTTTTTCAAATCTGGCGGTCCGTCCGACTCTATGTATATATGTGTTGACGTCTTCGGGAGAGTCCAACTGTAAGACCCAATTAACTGATGGAAAGTCAAGACCTCTGGACGCGATGTCAGTGGCGAAGAGAACTGCGCTCTGTTTGCGACAAAACTCGTCATAAATAGCCATTCGTCTCAATTGATGGAGAGTTCCATAAAGTGATAGAATACTGACTCCGGGTCTCATTCGGCAGAAGAGGTCATTGCAATACTTCACTTGTTTACAGCTCGACATAAACACCACTACCTTTTGCTTCTTATGGCTTTTGATGAAAGACCACAACATATTCAGCTTATCCTCCAAATCACACACAATATAGCTCTGTATGAGAGCGTCGGGCGTCGAGTGCTTATCATTTTCGTGAACCCAGACATACATCGGGTCTCTAAGACTGAGTCGCGCCAAGTCTTTCACGGATTTCGTTTGTGTCGCAGAGAAGAGCAGTGTTTGTCGTTTTTGAGGCAAATTCTCGATAATAGCGTTCATAGTCTTTGCGAAACCCATGTCCAGACATCTGTCCGCCTCATCCAATACAAGAACCTTCAGATTATCGCAATTGAAGAGCGGATTCTCGTCCATGTGTTGAAGAAGTCGTCCGGGAGTGCAGACAATGACATTACATTTGTCCAAACGTTTCCTTTCAAACTTGAGATCTTTTCCGCCGATTATAAGACCCGCAGAGAAGTCATGATTTATACCCACTTTCCTCAACACCTCAAAGATCTGATACGAGAGCTCACGAGTGGGTGTTATAATGAGAGCTCCGATTCCGTCCAAATGCGTCCATTTGTTGGCGTATAATATCTCAAGAATGGGTACTAAAAAGGCCAGTGTTTTGCCGGACCCGGTCTTCGCGGCGCCCAACAGGTCCCGGCCTCTGAGGGCGTGTCCGATGGCCTGTCTCTGTATATCAGTGGGAACTGCGAACCCATTCCAGAGGAGAGCGTCACGTGTTTTGGCCGAAAGAGGAATCGATTCAAACGATTCAAATTGCGACCAATCGTACGACTCGTACGCCGACACCAACTCCTGGATCTTCTGGTCCTCGACGTCCGACTTCTTCACTCGAATTGGTTTGTCTTCACTCGACTTCTTCTTCATCTCTAATCGTGTCTTAAATTGATCCCAAACTACAAAACACACCACAAAATGACATTCAAAAGCATAACATTCACACGTGTTGTCAAATGCAGTGTTTTATAGGCTTTTAAACATTCAATACATAAATAACGATAAATACAAATAAAAACTAAACTATAATAATTATTATACATTAGTAATTATACATTACTGTTAAATTCAATTCAAGGAATGAGAAAAAATATATATTTAATGAAACAATTGAAACATTATTATAATTATTATTATATTTATTTGTAAATAAAAAGGAATGTATTTAACAATAAAGACTAAATAGATATTTATATTAAAGCTCATCGATGTTTGGATTAATAGACAACAAACAGATCTTAGGCTTAGTTTTTATGACACAAACTCTAAGACGTATTGTTTAACAGACGGCGGGAGTTGTAGTTTATTGATATTCTGAGCCAATTGTCTGCCCATCGATAGATAAATTGTGTTTCGGGCCATACTTTTCAACGATCGCGGATTCGATGACAAGTGTCTCAACACCGAAGTCAGCTCTTGTGAATTGCATCGAATGGAACCTATGAGTAGTTCTTTGTTCAGTTGTTGGAGACATGAGTAGAGCTCGTTGTGAGACATCGTGTGATAATAGAGTAAAATGAGTTTCGAGAAGTGCTGCTCAACCGACTTGTCGTCGATCAGGAGTTCCT